GTTTTGAGAAAGCCGTTCGTCTTAACCTACCAAATAGCGAAACCTTAGTTATCTATGGCGACAAACGAGGCACGAGCCTTCGGATCATTTCAAGTATACAAGCCCATAAGTACTTACGGAAGGAATATCATGCATTACTTGCTCACGTGGTTGATATGAGCCAAGAGGTGAAAGACATAAAGAACATCCCAGAAGTACGTGACTTTCCGGACATCTTTCCCGAAGAACTCCTAGGATTACCACCACAACATCAAGTCGAGTTCAGAATCGACTTAATTCCAGGAGCTACTCCTGTAGCCAAATCGCCTTATCGATTAGCACCAGCTGAGATGCAGGATCAACTGAACGAACTGATAAGCAAGGGATTTATTAGATGAAGCTTCTCACCTTGGGGAGCACCGGTCTTGTTCGTGAAGAAGAAAGACGGATCGTTCTGTATGTGCATCACTATCGCGAGCTAAAAAAACTTACCGTTAAGAACCGATACCCTCTACCACGTATAGACGACTTGTTCGACCAACTTCAAGGAGCAAACTACTTTTCAAAGATTAACTTAAGATCCAGGTACCACCAGTTACGAGTTTTAAAGGAAGATGTTCCCAAAACGGCTTTCCAAACTCGTTATGGACACTACGAGTTTGTAGTGATGCCATTGAGATTAACCAATGCACCCGCGGTGTTCATGGACTTAATGAACCGGGTGTGCCGCCCTTACTTAGATAAGTTCATAATCGTGTTCATTGACGACATACTCATCTATTCTCGCAGTAAGGAGGAAGATAGTCAACACCTACGACAGATCTTAGAAACACTACGAGTATAGAAGCTTTATGCAAAATTCTCTAAATGCGAATTTTGGATTCGAAGAGTCGAATTCTTGGGTCATGTGCTTAGCGAAGAGGGAATACATGTGGACCCTTCTAAAATAAAGGCCATTGAGAACTGGTCAGCACCGAAGACGCCTACAGAAATTGGTCAGATTCTAGGCCTCGCTGGCTATTATCGTAGGTTTATTCAGAACTTTTCAAGAATTGCGAAACCACTTACCACATTGACCCAGAAAGGTGTGACCTTTCACTGGGAAGAGAAACAAGAGAAGGTGTTCCAAACGCTGAAGCAAGCCTTATGCACCGCACCGATATTATCCCTCCAAGAAGGGATAGAAGATTTTGTGGTTTATTGCGATGCATCCAACCAAGGGCTTGGTTGTGTTCTTATGCAACGAGGAAAGGTCATCGCCTATGCCTCAAGACAACTTAAGACACACGAAGTCAACTACACTACACATGATCTTGAGCTAGGAGCAATAGTATTTGCTCTGAAGATCTGGCGACACTACCTGTATGGTACGAAAAGCACTATCTTTACAGACCACAAAAGCCTCCAACATATATTCGACCAGAAGGAGCTCAACATGAGACAACGACGGTGGGTCGAACTACTAAATGACTACGAATGTGAAATTCGTTATCATCCCGATAAGGCCAACGTAGTAGTTGACGCCCTAAGTTGGAAAGAATACTCAGGTCGTAGAGTCAAGGAATTGACTATGACGATCCATTCTCATCTGTCCACACAAATTAAAGAGGCTCAGCAGGAAGCGTTATTGCCTGAAAATGTGGCAGGTGAATCCCTTAGAGGGATGGATAAGAACTTAGAAGTCAAGGGTGACAGAGCTTATTACCTCATGGATCGTATCTGGACACCGAAGCTCGGTGGTTTTAGAGACGTGGTCATGAACGAAGCGTTCAATACTCGATACTCTGTTCATCCAGGTTCAGATAAGATGTATCTGGATCTCAAAAAGTTATATTGGTGGCCTAACATGAAAGCAGAGATTGCTACCTTCGTGGGCAAGTGTCTTACTTGCGCCAATGTTAAGGTCGAATACCAAAAACCCTCAGATTTACTACAACAACTGGAGATACCTGAGTGGAAGTGGGAGCGGATTACGATGGACTTCATAACCAAATTGCCCAAGACAACGGGTGGTCTCGATACCATTTGGGTGATCGTAGACAGGTTAACTAAGTCTGCATACTTCCTGCCAATCAAAGAAACCGACAAGATGGAGAAACTGACAAGAACTTACATTAGGGAGATTGTACGACTGCATGGTGTTCCCATATCTATTATCTCTGATAGAGACATTAGATTCACTTCAATATTCTGGCAGTCGCTACAAAAGTCCCTGGGAACTAGGTTAGACATGAGTACAGCCTACCACCGACAAACTTATGGAAAGAGTGAGAGGACGTTACAGACGTTGGAAGACATGCTGAGAGCTTGTGTGATCGATTTTGGTAAAGCATGGGATATCTATTTGCCACTGGTCGAGTTTTCATACAACAACAGCTATCATTCTAGTATCAAGGTTGCGCCATTTGAAGCCCTCTATGGCCGGAAGTGCAGATCCCCTATGTGTTGGGCTGAGGTGGGTGACACGCAACTAGCTAAAGGACAAGTTCCTGACAGCACTCTCACGGGTCCGGAAATCATTCGGGAAACTTCAGAGAAGATCGTTCAGATTCGTGAACGATTGAAAGCCTCTAGATACCGACAGAAAAGCTATGCTGACAAGAGATGGAAACCTTTGGAATTTTAGGTTGGTGACCTTGTCCTATTGTAGGTCTCACCCTGGAAGGGCTTGATACGCTTCGGAAAGCATGGTAAGCTAAATCCAAGGTACATAGGGCCTTTTGAGATTCTCGCTAGAATCGGCCCTGTAGCTTACGAACTCCGACTACCTCCGAAACTTAGTAACGTACACCCTACCTTCCACGTGTTGAACCTAAAGAAGTGCCTTTCTGATGAGACTCTTGTTATCCCACTCGATGAAATCGAGATAAATGAGAGCTTCAACTTCATGGAAGAACCGGTAGAAATCATGGATATGGAAGTCAAGCAAACGAAACAAAGTCGTATTCCGATATTGAAGGTTCGCTGGAATGCAAAGCGAGGACCTGAATTTACTTGGGAGCGGGAGGATCAAATGAAACTTAAGTATCCCCATCTTTTCCCTTAGTCTATTTGTATCTCTTAGACTTAATTTCGGGATGAAATTCCCTTTAAGGGGGGGGGGGGATGATGTGACAACCCGTAATTTCTATTCTTATAAAAGTCAAACTTGCTCAACTAACGGCAACTTGATTTTTATTCTATCTTAAATGGGTTAGAGAAATGACTTTTAAGTGTTTAAACCTTGTATTCAAGGTGTTATGTGTTTAAGAAGGAAATTAGTTGGAATCGAGAAACTTTGCACCTCTTTTCTTCTCTCTTCCCTTCAGACCGAAACCCCGACTGCAAACCCTCGCAGGGCCGCAAACAAGCCTTCGGCCGTGAACAGCCTTCGGGCCGTGGACAGCCTTTGGGCCGTGAACTGGCTTCGGACCATGAACAAGTTGCGGGCCGTGAAACCTCGGTGTACGGCCGTGAACCTCCTCTCCTATATATATGAGAGTTAGCTGATTTTTCTTCATTCTTTCACTTCTAGCCGCAAACTCCAACATTTCTCTCTCAAGTATCATCTTTCAAGCCTTCCATTCTTCTTAGAATATTGCTTGGATCTTCAAGGTGTTCATCATTTCATCATCATTCTAGGGATTTCTAGGCCGAAAACACTTGAATCTTCTTCATCCTTCAAGATCATTGGGCCGTGAACTCAAGAACATCAAGTGTTCTTGGGTCGTGAACACTCCATCTTGGCCGTAAACTCTAATCAATCACTTGATTTCGTTTCTAACACTTCTCTTGTAAGTAATTCTTACATCCTAAGTTGTTTAATTGATACCTTAGAGGTTATATTCACTAAATGCATGCCAATATGTTGAATATATTGTCATTTAGGACTTGATTTTTGTCCCATGAGCTAACTAGTGAAACATTCATCCTATATCGAACTCCAAATCGAATCACTCACACAAGGTGAGTTTATACCTCTACCAATTTACAGTTTTAAATGCTTTTGAACGCTTTTAGGGGAGAATACAAGTAGAACACAATGTAATTGTGTTAAACAGTTACATGTGAAAACATCAAACAAAATGATTTCTTATACTCAAATACTTGTTAAAACCATTTTAAAACTATTCTTATATTTCTGTTTTTATCAAATTCATATTCGTGTATCTATTTACGTATAAATATGCTTTAACAGACTTAGGACAATTGCTAAATACCGTAACTCCTGTTCCTTGTTTGGTTGTGGGCTTAGGGTAGGATCACTAGTCCGACTGTCGGCTAAATCATAGTTATACTCATTGAATACATACATGAATATTAAACCCATTTTTAAGGAACATACTAACTCGATTGCTTATGTTGAACAACTGAGTCTTTTTTACAAATCAGTAACAGTTTGAACAAACAGACTAGTAAACTATAATAGGGATAGTTTAGAGGATTTCTACATACTATTTCTAGATCATAGAAACATACATGAGTCAGTACATATATACTATTACTATTCATTTACAAGAACAAGAAGGAATATACATACTATAGCAACAACCAGAAGGAACATAAATACTATAACAAGAACAAGATAACTAAAAGGTGAGATAATATTTCATGGCATAGAAATTTCCTTGCTATGTCCCGTTTTATAACCAGAGTCTCCTGTAGGGAGAGCGTGAGTTAGTGTATAGATATATTCTGGATTGACAATCCTACACCTTACTGCTAGGTATAGTAGGACCTGCAAGTCTACGGGTGACAAATGTCATAACTTTTTCGACGCCTGAAGAACATCGTGTTTCACACTAGTCAATCAAGCAAGGTTATAACTTTATCACATTTTAACCTTAAAATTAACCAGTTTGGTTACAAGGTAGTTAATGCATTAGTAGTGTATTTTATACAATACTACTGTAAATCTTCATTTTTCCATTTACATTCATACAGTGATATTCTTTAATTGCTTTTTCTACACCCTGAAAAAGACATACCAAAAAAAAAGTAAACATGGTTCTATTTGTAGCTTCCCTACTCTGATCCACCAATCAAAACTTGAAAAAGAACACAAGAAAAGTTGCCATTATTTTCATCTGTCTATATGCAAATTCCTTCCCTAAGCACATCCTTGGCCCAGCCTAACCATATATATGTATTTAATCACGAGTTGAAACAAACTGAAATTATATAATTAATTGTATATTAAGTCAAAGATACTAATTTTCTTTTACTTACTTGAAATGCAGTAAACTTGAATGGACTTTCAGGCTGAAAAACGCCATCGTAGAGCCGTCTTTCTGGCCAAAATTCCTCTGCATCTTCTCCCCAAATGTATGTCATTCTTCCCACTGGATACGCCATGTAATTTACACCATCTCCTTTCTTTATTTTGAACCCATCGGGTAAAACATCATCTCCCTCTAAACGTTTTCCATCCTGATGAACAAACAATATCAAAAATCAGAACAAATATGATAGAACCGCAAAAGTATAATGCGATTTACTAGAGGTACAACTAGATAGAGTCTGAGAGTCTCGGTTAAAGCTACGTGATACCAGAGGTACAACTGTATAGAGTCTGAGAGTCTCGGTTAAAGCTGCGTGAAGATAATGCATTTTGTCAAGGGCAGATTCAATTAATTGTATGGAGAATTCGTCAATGGAGTTTGTATAGTCGGATGATCCAGTGGCTTCATTCACTTCTAGGGCAACTATTTCCTGAATTTGAGAATGTTTGCAGAGCATGTAAAAGAACCAGGTGAGTGTGTTTCCAGATGTATCTTTCCCAGTCGCTGATCGTTTCCCCATCAACACCACTGAACTCCTTTTCATAGCTCGCTACAACAACCGAAACAAACAGCTTCACTGCCTCCCTTCAGCCTCGTCAAAAACCGGAGACGACGTTCTGCAAAAAATATGATATTAAGTACCTTTTTGAAGTGGAAACGAGGAAGACAAGGGTGGAGGCATCTAGGTTTTAAAAAGGAGGCCACCGATGGCCGCCTGGAAGGGTTCTGCAACAACCGGTGATGGAGATTAACCTTCCATCGGTCGGATGAATGGCCACTGCTGGAGTCGGCTTTAGGGTTTAATAGGTAAAAAGAAAAATGATCCTAAAATAAAGGGATATCAATGAGTAATTTTGGATATTAGTTAATGTATATGTGTAAAGTTACTAATTTGCCCTTATTAATTAATTTAATTATTATTTTATTTTAAATTTTGATTGGCTCATAATCATTCTCACATCCACACAATACTTAGTTAGAATACTTGAACCTATCTCTCTCCCTCTCTCTCTCTCTCTCTCTCTCTCTATATATATATATATATATATATATATATATATATATATATATATATATATATATATTGTGTATTAAATGGATAAGTTGTTGCGATAAAGTTGTGACACTCACTAGAGTGTCACTAATACCTTTGCATGGAATCCACACCTTAGATGGCAAGTTACCCATATTGCTGTGTCCACTTCTTTTGCGTTTTATCGAATTATTGTTTCTATGTATTTTCCATTAAAAGAGTAGACTAGTTCATTTACTGTTAGCTCATGTTTTTCACTACCTAGCTTTTAAACTTTTGCATTGTTATATATTTAGATGTATTTTCATTGTTTTGGTAATGAGAAGAATTTGGTAAAACTTGTATCTCATTCTTGTCTTTATTTTTTTGGAGACTAGTGTTGGTGATTTTAGTGTCACCATGTCATTTTATGTAACTGGAATTAGCATGTGAGCTAATGGGCTTCTTAATTTGTTTTTTAATATGTGTACGGGTTGGTGCAGAGTGCACGCATATATAAGATCAGATTAGTAGCCGGTTCGACGACAAGTCGGGGGTCCGGGGTCAGCACTCCTAGCGGGGTCCAAGGGGCAGAGCCCCTGGCTGGGGTCCCGCTACAAATTTTACATATGGGTACATAGTCAGATATTCCGATTCTTGAGGGTGATTATGGTAAAACTAACGAAACTCGTTAGTTTTGGTAACCCTAAATCCTCATTAAAATCCGGATTACCCTGACTTGCTTCCAAAGGAATCCATAACGACCCAACCCTAATGAAACCCTAATATCGTTTATTATATAAACGGCTCTTCTTTTCAGAAGATGGTGACGATCTTAAGCTCTTGTTTTTCATCATACTTTCACAGAATCCTCTAGCATATTGGCTTACGATTTCTGTGCCTAGAATCGTAAGTATCCACTTCGATTATCCTAGGTTGAATTTCTTGTAACCCAGACATAGGGTAGAAATATCAGTTCGGAAAGTGATATCACGATCCAAGTTGGTATCCAGATCTCCACTACAAACCCTAAAATTCCCAACAATCGAACTGATATTTACTGTTCCTGGAGATGGGTGACTCAATCCTTGAGATGACCACTAAGTTTGCAAAGCTGGAGAATTTCGAAGGTGTCAACTTCAGACGCTGGAAGAAGAAGATGCACTTCATGCTAACTACTCTGAAAGCAGCATACATGGTGAATACTCCAAGACCCAGCGGAGCCAGAGGAAGGTGATGTTGAGACTATTGAAGAGATAAGAAGGAGACAAAAGTGGGAAAACGATGAATACATCTGTAAAGGTCACATTCTGAACGGCATGTATGATGCTTTATTTGATATCCATAGTGAAGCCTTGTGTGCCAAGGAGTTGTGGGACACTTTTGAGTTGAAGTATATCACCGAGGATGCTTCTAGCAAGAAGTTTCTGTTCAGTGCCTTTAACAATTATAAGATGGACGACTCAAGATCTGTTACTGAACAATTCAATGAACTCCTTGGCATATACGGTCAGTTTAAACTACACCAGATGAATATGGATGAATCCATTGTTGTGTCAACCATCATTGACAAAATTCCTCCATCCTGGAAAGACATCAAACACAACTTGAAACATCAAAAGTAGGAACTATATTTGGTTAAACTTGCTAGTCACATTCATATTGAAGAATTTCTTCGGTTGAAAGAAAGTGACAAATCTGAAAAACCCAAAGGAAAAGTTGAACCTAGACAGCCCTCGGTTCATATGGTTGAAAACAAACCAAGGAACCAGAACCACAAAGGACATGGAAAATGTAAGCATGAACATGTCCCAAGCAACTCCAACAAAAAGAGAAAGGATCTGGTTTGTTGGAGGTGCAATCAGGTTGGGCATTGCAAGCGTGATTGCCGTGTGAATTTGGGCAACAATGGTGTTGGAAACAGTAGAGCCAATGGGAAAGTGAACGGGTCTTCGGCCCAAGTTAAAGGAGGTCAGTTTTTGACTAACTTTGATAATTCTAATCAGAATTATGGCTATTATGTTTCATTTATCCCTGAATCATTCTATGTGCAGGATGATGATGTTTCTTGGTGGATCGACTCCGGAGCAACGAACCATGTATGCAAGGATAAACGAATATTTGAATCATTAACTCCGCTTGAAGATGGGTCGGTGCTGAAAATGGGAGACGATTATTTTATTCCTATTTTTGGTTTAGGTGTCGTGTGTCTTTAATTTACTTCTGGAAAGACAATTAAGTTATTTGATGTTTTGTTTGTTCCCAAGATTCGCAAGAATCTTGATAGTTCTAGTTGTTTGAATTCTGCTGGTTTTAAACAAGTTATTGAATCAGATAAGTTTGTTTTGTCTAAGGGTGGAATGTTTATTGGCTTTGGATATTTAAATAATAGAATGTTTCGTTTAAGTCTTGTTGACAAATCATTACTTGTTCAAAATTCTGCATTTGTATATTCTGCTTCTAATGTTGATAAATCTATGCTTTAGAATGTAAGATTAGGTCATGTCAACTTTAGAAGGATGCATGAGATGTCAAAAGATGGATTAATTCCAGCCTTTGATATGACATTTGATAAATGTAAAACATGCATGCTTACAAAAGTGACAAAACAGGCCCTTTCCTAGTGTCACTAGAAATTCAGCTGTTTTGGAACTTGTACACAGTGACCTGTGTGATTTTCACTCCACTCCTTTGGGAAATAAAAAGTATCTAGTCACGTTTATTGATAAATGCACTCGGTTTTGCTATGTGTATTTGTTACATTCGAAGGATGAAGCCTTAGATAAATTCAAAATATACAAAACCGAGATGGAATTGCAATTGCGCATTCCGGTTGAATGTTCTAGGACTGATAGGGGAGGTGAATATATGAATCCTATATACTTCCAATCATTGGGTATCATTCATGAGACCACGACACCTTACATGCCCCAACAGAATGGTATTGCTGAACGCAAAAATCGAGTTTTAAAGGAAATGGTAAACTCGATGTTGTCTTACTCGGGATTGAGTGAAGGATTCTGGGGAGAGGCCATGTTAACGACCTGCTATTTATTAAATAGGGTTCCAAATAAAAGGAACAAAACAGTCCCATATGAACTTTGGTTCAAGAAAAAGCCGAATCTAAGTTATTTTCGGGTGTAGGGATGTCGGGCAGTTGTAAAACTCACCGAGCCCAAAAAGAAGAATTTGGGAGAACGTGGAATTGATTGTATATTCATTGGATATGATGAACATTCCAAGGCATATAGGTTTTATGTAATAGAACCTAATGATTCGGTTTCGGTTAACACTGTTATCAAATCACGAGATGCAATTTTTGATGAGAAGCGGTTTTCATCGTTTCAAAGGCCTAAGGATCTGACTTTTGGTGCTCATAAAGAGCAAATTTCAGAAAGTCAAGATGGTGGTAATGTGCAATGAAGACATTAAAACTCTTTAAGATCGATGAGATTCTTAACAAGTAACACAATAACACAAAGTAAATAAGAACACAAGATGAATCAAACAGATGTCGAATGATTAATAATCCACAACCTCAGAAGAAATCTATTAAGAATTGCTACTGTAGAGGTGTGGTAGGGTTACAATGATGATATCAACAACTACTCAAAATACGGTGCATGCATGCACTACATATAGTAAACCCTAATTAATGAAACACGGGTGGACAGGCCCAGTACCGTGAGAATAATGGACTTAGACCAAAAGCCCAATGACGCAACACTTCTACCCCAACAATCTCCCCCTTTGCGTCAATTGAGGTGAGAGATTACTGCTACAGAACCTGCATGGTCTTCTTTATTGTTTTGAAAATCTTGATATACCACCAAAGCATGTCATTGAAAATCTTCTTTGCAACATCATCATTGGATTTACATCTGTTTATAATATCCAGAATATGTTCAACATCAACCGTGGAAAACAGATGTTTGTCAGATAAGGTGAATAGGCACTTCAAGGGAGTATCTAAACCTTCAAGACTTTTAGTAAACATCAACTTCAAGTGTTCGGTGTCAATCTTGCCCATACATATCTGATTCATGTCGCTAGCTTTGCCAATGGGTTTAACAGTAGGCTTGCGTCTCAAAGCAGTGGCAACTTCTTGATCGAGCTTTGCAACTTCATGAATATACGACACCAACATTCGCTTGATATGACCAAGAATGGGTTCGTACTTCTGCTCATCAGTTATCAAAACATTTGTCAACAAAATCCAGTCATGAGGATTGAGATTCGGTAGGTCAGCAAGAGAAATCTCATAAACTGAATTTGTAGAACCGCGAGTGACCCAAAACCTCACATTGATGAAGTTCCCTGCGGCAACTGGCTTCAATACCTTGACCGTAGTAATCTTCTGTGCACTCCAGATCAGATATTGAGGTTGCGAGAAAGCAAGATAATAATCAATCAGTTCTCGATCAACCTTTGGGTCAGGTGAGGGAATAGAGGCGATTGATTCAAAACAATGAAAAACGAACGCTCGCCTGGTAATCGACATATCAAATTGAGAATCTTTCGAGTTCTCCAGG